TCTCAGAAAAGGAGCATACTTCTATTCAATCTATTCATCAAAACGTGTGCAGGGTAAGTACAAAACAAACTCCCTCACCACACACACACACACACACACACACACACACACACACACACACACACACACATATATATATATATATATATATATATATATGCAGGGTCTGAGCGAGGGCCGCTTGGACACCACAACTGTAATAAGGTAGTATTCATATAAAATATAAATTTTAATGTAGCCTCCTCATGTACAATAATGGATCATATGCAATAAGTCAAGAAATCAGCTAGGAAAATTGAAATTAAATACGTTATACAATAATTCTCAATATAAAATAAAAGACATGTCATAGTAGATCATTCCATGATTCAACATCGACTAGAGAGTTTTCTTGTTAAAAAGTTGAATAATTTCAACATAGTCAACGCTATGGATGCAAAATACTGAACTGTATATTGCATTTTCTCGAGACTTTGCATGAGTAAAAAAATCATGGATTTAATAAATAAAAGACTCCAGAATGAAGTCAAACTCCACGAAATTTTTTCAACATTTAATAGTCAGTTATGTTTAGTTTAATTTGTAACGTATATAAATGTAGATAAAAAAATGCAAATGTTGATAAGATAGCGAGACTGTCCGGCACGCCCAATCAAGCTTGCCCCCACCCCGACCTTGTGTGTAAGTATGTTTGTCTGTCTATATATATATATATATATATATATATATATATATATATATATATATATATAAAGATAGATAGAGACAGAGAGAGTGAGAGGGGGCAGAGGTGTATGTATGTATATATATATCTATGTGTATATATCTGTACTGTAAATTTGACTATTTGCTATTGCTTGTAGTACTAGCCGCTTTAGATTTTAAGACATCACGACTGGATAAATAAGTAAAAATTAGCTCCTTGACAGATATCAATATTTTTTTTTTCATCATTTCGGACCCTTTCATTTTCACATTATGGTCTTTTGCAATAACGACAATCGTTATCAGACAGATCAACCTTTCTTTCTATATGATGACAAGGTCGAAATATTTGACCTGCATTGGGTGATAACTTTGAACTTCAAAGTCCCGTACAATTTTACATTTTCTCTCTTCTAGGTCAGAGTCTCATTTATACATAATTCTAGCCTGCACAATTAGTCGTTAACACAATTCTCGCCTCCCAACTCATAGATTTTTTTTCTCTTCTTCTCTATCTATTTTATTATTATTCCTGTTATTATTATTATTATTATTATTATTAAATGAAAGATCAGTACACCAACAGAGTGTCATTCTAGTCAAAATATGTGAAACCCAACACACCTTTGTCTGATAAGGCTATGCCAGGTACATGCATTAAAGCCAAATGCGCGTGATATTATGACAGATTTGCAGGTGGGGACAAATTAGAATTACCTTCATTACCCAGACTGTCCAGACGGTCTCTGATTGAGGGTGGTCCCAAGTATGTCGCCTTGGTTGCCTCATCATTCAAATTTAAATCACCCTCTCGACACTGCTTCTTCACTACACTCGATAACATACAGAAATGTGCAGTCCATCAGCTGATGAGGCGGGGTTCGGACATGAACATTAGTTAAGTTCAACCAGTTGGCAAGCAAATTTGTGGTACTAAACGAAATATTTGTTGTAGCCCTTCTTAATTCACCAAGAAAAACAAGTATATGTTTTCAATTTCAATCAATTAAAATCAGGAGCCATAAGATATCTACCCTTTATAGAATCAGGGTAATATTAAAAATAACAATATTTTTATTACTGCTACTACTACTACTACTACTACTAGTAATAATAATAATAATAATAATAATAATAAATAAAGCCCTTCGTAAGGTGTGGGCCGTACTTGTCAGAACAATTTTTTGTATCTCCTTGAGGCATGGACTTCCAGGAATCCCTTCAATTAGTCTTCTGCAATCTTTTCCAACCAGTCCTAGGGCTCCAACTACAACAGGGACTGTTGATGTTCCCATATGCCACATTTTCGAGATTTCTATTTCAAGGTCCTTGTACTTTGACAACTTTTTGAATATCTTCAAAGATACATTGCAGTCAGCAGGGACTGCCGTATCAATAAGGAGGTATCGTTTTTGTTTGTGGTCTTTAATAACAATACGAAGGGCTTTATCTATGTAATTTAATTCTTTTTTTCTTTTTTTTCTTTTTTTTTTTTGTCAGTGGAAAGTCTCATGACGCCATTTCTAACTTTAGGTCCCTGGGCTGGACCCGGAAAGAAATGTGTAAACGCCAGAAATCAAAGAAAATAAAAATAATGATAATAATAATAAAATCAGTAGTAATAATAATAGTATTAGTAATAGTAATTATATTATGTACCGTATATACTAGCGTATCATGCGTCATTTAAATATCTATTTTTGAAGCTAATTTGACTACAATAAATGGATATATAGTCTGGTCACCGGCGTAGTCAGGGCCAGTAGTCCATACGCTAATGTTCTATCTCATGAATGACACGACCCGCTTAAATTTAGCTTCAAAATTCGCTCTTTAAAAGCCGCATGATACGCGATTATATACGGTATATATAACAAACCAACAATAGAATATTCTATATAAGAATATTTTTTGGAAGTTACTTAAACCCTGTCTATACTATAGAAATGGATAGAATATACAGTACACATTGAGCTTTCAAATGACGATTTTCACTGTTGATGAAGTAAAATCAATCTTTTCGATATTCCTCCTCCTGCATCAGTATTTTTGCATTATTTTTTCTCAATTATTCTGAAGGTTCCCAATTCTTCCAACACTTTTGCTATTTTTTCAGAACGGATCTAAGCGCGCCAACTCTGTTATCCCAACCCTCTAATTTTCTGGATCAGTCATAACTTCTACTTATGAAATTTTCTCGTCTTTTACATAGATCAGCTCTGTTCTTCTAGACTTTAGAATTAATCGATTTGAATACCAAAAAACCTTAAATAATTTAATGTTTGTTATATTTTAGGATAAATTCTGGTTAGCTTATATGTAATTGGTGTGCGCAAATCGAAATCATTTACAATATTCCCATTTAATTATATTTCCCACACAATATCTCTCTATATTTCTGGGATGAGGTACTATGTACACTATTTACATTATTCGGACTATTGCCCTCATTTTTTTTTTGTCATATTTATCACAACGTTTCGGCCATTGTACGCTCCGGCCTTCTTCAGGTGTCGAAGTGAACCCATTATTTCACTCGCTAGCGTAGACTGTTCTCGTTCCACGTGCCATGTCTAATGGATATCAGTTATCGGTTATCTCCTGTTAATTCCCCTCTCCAAGTTCTCCACCACCTTAATCAGGTATTGAACTCACAACTCTTTGGGTCCTGTCACTGGATCTAACTAACGCCTTTATCTACTGGTTAAGTCGGTGGAGAACTGAACCCCCTGCTTCCTCTTGAGGCGCAGTATTTATTACGTATGGAATAGTCCATTATGTTATTATGGGTAAGGTCCCATAACAAAACGAGCATATGCAAATTTAACTAATTTTTAAAATTTACATGACTTAATTTCATTACACGACTCACTCCATTTTTTGTTGCTTTTTACTAGGAGATAATAGGAAGCGAAGAGGTGATCGAATAGTTTATGCTTCTCTTAATCATGAAGTGGTTAAAGCAACGTCCGTGAAAGACATACTCTCTAAATGTGCATATCAATCCAGAGAGTAGTGATAAAATCAATAACATTAAAAGAGAGCAGTTGTAGAAGAAATGAAAGTAAGACTATTTAAACATTTTTGTAATTCACATTTCTACAATTTCTAGCAAAATTAACGTAGCTAATATCGATTTTTAGAACTTGTTCCTCCCTGAAAGTTATAAAATGCTAAATCTACTGAGGTCGGCCTATTTCATTTTTTAGAATTGCAATTTGTATGATATATAATTTTAAAATTATTTTCATGGCCGTACCTTTCAGGATGCGCATGCGCTTGCATATTTTTGTGTACAGAGAGGAAGACATGTCCGAATATAAATGTTTTTTTTTGTTTTTTTAGAGAGTTGCTTCTGCGCATGTAATTACACATGTGCACAAACATTATCTGCTGTGTCTTGGCGGTTATTTTGACAATTGCTTAAACATTTATTATTCTTTATTACTTTAGTTTAATCATCTTAATTTATTTTTTCTTTTCAGCATCTTTGTCAATATACATTTTGTTTTCCGCTCAGAATATGCGTCCATTATGAATAAAATAAGAATGCACGCGCCTGCGCAATTTGTCACTCTCACAGATATATACATATACTAATCAGGGCGATATTATTTGCTCAGTTTTACAGAAGATCGTAGTTTGACATAACAGAAAGAATAAATAAGCAAATATAAAAAAAAAAAAAGTTGTTTTTTTTTTAGTTTGTTAAACTTTTTCTCGATTTTATCAAACGTTTTTTAACCATTTCTTCTTTGTTTAAGTTACGGCGTCAAGTCGAAACAGCGGTTCCTGTACGATCACTGAAGATAAGCAAAGACCAGTCTGGGCAGTACCAAGATTGGTGACAGCTTTGGAATGCCAGGTGCTCTGTGCATGGATGCGCGGGTGGGGTGATGAATATCGGCTCGGAATTCGAAGTTTGATAGCCGAATTCCAGTTCCAGTTGTAGTCAATTTATTTACGTACACGTAAACACCACTTCTCCTCCTAGCTATGGGTTAATCAGTAATACTTTTATAAGTAAATTATTATCTCCAAAATATTCTTACAAACTAAAAATATTTTCCGGCTTTTAATTACCTGCTAAAGGTTGGTAAGACTTAAAAAAAAAATCAATCAATCTTCAGCCAATAACTTCATCAATTCAAAAAAAAAAAAAAAAGATGCATGTTCTCTCATCCCATATTTCACAAATTCCTGATATATTGATATATTTCTTTCAAATTATAACAGCTTAATTAAATCCCATATAAAAGAGATATGCATAGATTATACGAGTAATGTGAAAGTTTTTAAGAGAAGAAAAGCAAGGAAATTGCTACTGAGAATCAGATGAAAATTCTGGGAGATATAAGGAAAGATAGTTTGGAGAAGTTAACACTCATATGAGACTGAATACAAGAAAAGCTGGAATAAGAAGAGAGTAACCCACTTAATGACTGGATGGAAGAGACAACAAAAAAGGATGAAAATTATTCAAAAGTAACCTGCAGCAAAAAATAAAAGAAAGGGAATTTGGGGGAGTTATGATCAAATAAAAGATCGTGCATGTACTCAGTTCCCATTCGTTTTGAATTCTTCATTCACATAATTCTCTTATGTTGTGTTGTAAATAGGAAAGGAGGAAGCGCATATAGAAATATGAAATAGTTTATTCCAGAGAATAATATGGTACACGGTTGAGAACACAGATTAATATAATAAACAGTTAAACTTTAAATCCTCTCCCTCAGTAAGAGGGAGTTCTGTAAACAGCACTCGCTCTTACTGAGGGAGAGGATTTAAAGTTAAACAGACTTAGACCAATCCATCTTGTGGGGGTGTTAAGCTCCTACACAACATCTTTGAAATTCCATCAGTTTAATATAATTGTCCAAAATGTGATCTGTTAAAATCCTGAAAAACAGTAGAAAAAGTAAGCAGCATTATCAATGCAATGAATAAAATATTTGCAATAATGAATTAGAATAAATTTTACACTATTTGCATTGTTCGGACTGTTGTCTTCATTTTTGCTCTAGTTCTACGTGCCATCCCTCTTCCGGATATCTCAGAAATCAATTATCTTCATTTAACCTAACTCTTTCCATCTGGAACAAAACAATCTACGCCCCGGTGGACGGAATGAAGTGTTCGATTCGAAATTTCAGTCACCTGAAGAAGACCGGGGCTTACAACGGCCGAAACGTCGTGAATATGACAACGAAATGAGGACAACAATCCTAACAATGGAAATAGAGTAAATAATTAAAATACCTCATCTGAGAAATATACACAGTGACTGAGATGTGTTTAAATTTTAATTTTATATATATATATATATATATATATATATATATATATAGTGAGAGAGAGAGTGAGAGAGAGAGAGAGAGATAATAATCAGTAAGTGGAAAGGATAATTCAAGTAGCTCTTTTTAATATGAAATATTAAGAATATAGATCCCTAAAGCAAGTTCAACGTATAGTATACACAGCAATATGAAACATGTCAAAGGAAATAGCATAACGCATCATCGAAAACTCGGTTCTAAATTATAATTTATTATTTATTTAATTATTATTTATTATTTAAAATATACATACATACATACATACATATATATATATATATATATATATATATATATATATATATATATATATATATTATAAAGATATTTTCATAGGTACAAAATTTAATGATCGAAATAAAAGTATAAAAATTTAATATTAAAAGACATATTAAAACAATATTAAATAATAAAAAACAAAAAACAAAAAAAAAAAAACTCAACAACAAGGGGAAGCAAAAAAAAAATTACGCATATATATATATATATATATGTTTGTATATGCAAGAAGGAACTAGAGGCAGATGACAGCGAGTCCCAACAAACACTCACGTTGTTTGCACAAAAAAAGGCTTGCAATTACGATGTAAAGTGTATATATACATATATATATATATATGCGTATTTTTTTTTTTTTTTTTTCCACCTATTCACATTGTACATTTCTCTGTTTTAATTTTTGAATCTCCTGTGAAGTTTGACGAGCAGGAGCGAAACCGGTTGCTTCCCCCTTGTTGAGTTTTTTTTTTTTTTTTTTTTTTTTATTATTTAATATTGTTTTAATATGTCTTGTAATATTAAATTTTATACTTTTATTTCGATCATATATATATATATATATATATATATATATATATATATATATATATATATATATATATTCATAAATGTGTCTTCTAACTTGCAACAAGCAAATAAGTTTGCTTCTATACCATCGTACACGCGCTTTTATATAATGAAATGAATTATAGGCGTAAAATGTATTTCATATATAAATTCCTCAAACAGCAGGAGAGAATCATTCAAAAAATATTTTGACATCCGATTTCATTACAATGAATAAAATCTAATAAGTTTTTACAGCGATATCTCATTTGTAACTATGTATAGTTGTATGTGTTTATACATAGAAACTTATAAAGACAGACAGCGAATACAAAATAATTCACACACACAAACACGTACGCTGACGCTCTAACAGTATGAAACATGGTCAACGATGTAAGAAAGGATGTTGGTGGTATTGAAATTTATGTGCTGTGTCCTTTCAGAAAGTTGGCCATCATGGCACTCTATTTCCTGTCTTTGTGAAGTTTGTCTTTTCATCTCTTCTAATCCCAGTTCTGCCAACCATTTACACAAGTCACTTTCGTACATTACGCGCTGATTTCTTGTCCCTTGCCTTCAATCTATCCTTTGAGTATCAAATTTTCTAAGCCTTTTATCATTATTTCTCTTTCTTATGCATAAATGTATTTTTTTCCCATTTTCTCCCAAACTTCGTTGCTGTTAACATGTTCGGTCAATAGAATTTCCAACATTCTGTTATAAAACCAAATTTCTGTTGCTTGTGAGGAGATTGCCCAGCATTCACTGTTGGCAGTACATAGCTGTTCACATCTCTTTTCATTTTTTCTAACGAATTTTTCTTCTTTCATAATATTTTGCTTCACTTTTGTAAGTCATAATTTACTGCCCCAATGTCTCTTCGAATTACAGTGTAGAATTTTCATTCTCAGTAACATCAAGAAGAGACAGCTGAAATTTCTGGGGGGAACATAAAGAAAAAAGAAGGCTTGGAAAATCTGATACTCACAGGACAGATTGACGGGAAGAGAGAAGCATGACACATTTATGAGCTTAGGGAAATGAATGGCAGACAGGGTTTAGGAAAAATAAAAAAAAAGATAAAATGTACTAAGAGCTACAAAGGAAAAGAAATTGTGGAGAGTCATGATCGCCTACGTCTTGAAGGGACACGGAACATGAAGAAAGAGATTCTATAATAATAATAATAATATTGATAATAATAATAATAATAATAATAATAATGATGATGAAATTTATTTTATTTTAGCACAAGAAGACATACTAATAGAATCAGGCATGAATATAAATACGTGTGAACCTTTCCTTCTTAGTATAAACTCAAAAACAGTGACTTTTATATAGTTTATTCAGCAGTTACGTAACATATTTTGTTCTTTCTCTTTTATTTGTACTTTCTGTTTTGAAATGATGGTCCGAAAGCCATTTAAATGTTGAAAGTTCGTTTTTTTTATATTCAAAGAACGTAAAAAAATAATTTTATACTTCTCTAAATAACGAACGCAGTATAGATTGAATAACATTTCAAATTAGCAACAGACAAAAAATAAGATACATTTTAGAAACGAAAGTCATTATAATGACATCATTTTTGGGCTTGGTAGATATATTTAAAAAAATAAATAATTTCTATAGATCAAAATGAGTTTTTCGATGATTTTAGGCAACTGAAAAGAACCACAGCCTGACATGGAAGATATCGTAACAAGGTAATGATTTACAAGAAAGATTTCAATATATTAATTTCCAATGTTCATTGATTCTTTCTTTCTTTCGCGTCATGTCTGTAACTACCATATGTCATCATAACACGTCAAAGGTTTTCATAAAACATTTAATCAAAGACACATATCGAGTAGCAAAAAGGTAATTATAAGACTTTGCATTGATTGAATTGGCAAGCTTATTGCAATAACAATGAGGTGCTTCGAGCAAAAGCGAAAAGAAACCAAATAAAATCTTTGAAAAATGAAAATGCTAAATGAACATCGGTTAAAATTCGAAATGAGAGGAAATGGCGTATTTCAGATTTAATTTCAAATGTAGTGTTTATATGATAAACCAATTAAACTAAGATATATATTAAGTGATACTTATATAGAAATATTTCAATTGTTCTTTCTGAACTTATAATTTGATATATTTCTGTTTTTATATCTCAACTTTTTTTCTACAACTCTATATGTATAATTTGATTCATCTCTCTCCCTATATATATATTTCGAAGTATTATATATGCATGTTTGCATATCTAAAAGATCTACACATACCGTATATATATATATATATATATGTATATATAGTAAAAGTTTGTATATTTCTTCATCTAAATATTTGTTCAAAGAGATGTTCAAACTGCATAACATATAAATAACACATTTGTAAGTTTTTGAATGTATACGAATGTGAGAACAAAGATAGATAGATAGATAGATAGATAGATAGATAGATAGATAGATAGATAGATAGATAAATTCATTCACTGAATGCCTTGATTCATAATAATGTTTTTAATAAGATTTTATGTTGTTCAAATAAGTCATGGGAAAAAGTCTCAAAAGCTGGAAATTAACTAATCAGAAACTCAACATGACTTCCCGAAATCTATTCATTATATCACAGAATAGTTCGTTTTCGATAAGGTAATTTATAAACAAGAAAAATTCTGAAGAATAAACGACGCAAGGGGCAACCCACTAATTAGGTGCACGCGAATTCTGAAAAAGGACCGTTTAAACCATAAGGTTTTCTTGTTAACTTGTCGCCGTTTTCGTCAAAGTTAGAATTTTTCTCAAAGAGATTAATATGAATGTTTTGTCAAATAGATGACGAAATACATAAACACCACAATATATATATATATATATATATATATATATATATATATATATACACATATATATATATATGTTTGTGTGTATGCGGTATTTGTCTGTTCCTGTATACAGGAATAAAAAAATGGATAAATTTCTATCATATTTTATTCATTTTAAGAATATCATGTGTACGTAATTATATTAATATCTGTTACCTATGTTTGTGATTATTAGTTTACTTATAGGCGTATGTATGTATCTAGTTTTGAACCTACAAAACAGAATTACTATTCAGGATAACGTAAAAAATGCATTTTTAATATGTATTTATCGTCATCGTTTATATATGCGCAAATAAATCATAATATTTACTATTAATATAAATATAAGCCTACTAGATCTATATAAATGATTAAATATATATGTATATATTTTTATGAAAGAAAATTTGTTTACGACTAAAAATGATGTCGCCCAGTAATTTACTAGAGAATAACAAGTTTTAGGGCGAGCAGATTTTGTATAAATATATTCACTCAAATGAAGTAGATGATTAATTGTAAATAGATTTAATTCCCAAGAGTAAATCCGCTTTTTCGTATCAAGATGAATCAGTTCCATATTGATATACATTTTGTGATGGATAAATTGTCGTCTAAATCGCGCTAAAATGAAAATAACGCTGACATCGCATTTTAACAGATATATTTACCAAAATTAGACAAGGATGTCTTGAAATATTAAAGAATAAATGTATTCAATAAAATCGCCATTAAATTCAATCACGGTTTCCAGACGAATTCGGAAAGACTTGCAGCTCTTCAGGGCGGTATCCTTGTTAGTAAATGCTGCCATAATCCTTACCTTCAGTTCATCTTGTGTGTTACAAGGAGTTTTGTTGGACTCTTGCTTAACTGCCTTCCATATATAATAATCAAGTTGGTTGCAAGCTGGGGATTTAGGTGGCCAGATATAAGGGGTGATATGGTCAAAGAAATTTTCTGACACCCATGACTGGGTAATCCTGCTTTTGTGGCATGGTGGAGACTCCTGTTTCCAGGCATAGGGTTTTCTGGTAGATTGCCTCTTGACCCAGGACAGCTCTACCTCCTCAAAGTGCTTGATGTGTTTAGTCGGAGTGGGAAGATGAATGGAGGCAAACTCCAAACAACTTCATAATCACCATTAGACTCATCCAACTTTTTTTCTTATCATCTGCACTCTCCTCAGATTGAGACACAAACACTCTAAAATGTTCATATTGGAGCTTCCGGCGCGAATGCAAAGCAGTACAGCTGCTTCCAAACATATAGCAGAGTGACTAGCGTCATGGTGTTCTTTTTCTCATGCACGGTGCCCAACTGACTTAAACTTTGTTGTCGAAAAAATCACAAACAACGCGCATGCGCGAAATTAACAATATAAAATGGTTACAAATTACACATCGCACCCTGTATTTCGACGCAGAATAAGGGCTTTTTCTGCAATGTAAAATGGTTGGCTCTCTGTACCACTCCAGTAAATATATGATTCCACATGCTATCATCTATTTGGATAAGAGCCAGATCAGGCCAAAAATGAAGTACAGTTGCCATATTCCGGCTGAAACTACCTCGACATCACTCTTCACAGAGTCCAAAAGCATCCCCGTACTCCTGTGGGTGACGGATTATTCTCCACCCTCCAACCCCACTTTCACAAGAGGGTGGTGGCAAGACTCTCGTCGTTCTATCGTAACTTACACGGAAAGTGCTCGAACACACTACATTCCTTGATCCTTTCTTTTCAAATCTAAACAGCAAGGACACGCCATTCCATTTACATAGTATCAAACCACTCCCATTCCCTCCGTATTCCATCAGTAAGAAATAAGTTCCACTTGAACAGCTTCTTCCCGCGAACCACTGTGGAACCGACAGGAAAGTGGATGTTTTCCCGATTGCTACAATCTTAATCTGTTCAAGTCGAAAATTAACTGTTATCTTCCCCAACTATCGACTGTGACACCATTTAGGGGCACAAAAAGAAAAAAAGGAAAGAAAGGAAGGAAAAGAGAGGCAAGACTTAAGCTTAGATGATAAAAGAAACCACCCACGACCGGGGACATTGACAATGTTATTTTGATAAGTAGCAAATGGTGAAAGGTTTCATTACCATGGCAGAAAATTCTAAATGGATAAGAAAATCGACTGTGTTGTGGTGGCGGACTTGTGTTGTCGGGGATAGATAACAGCCACTTAATGCTGGCGAACAACTAATTGACAAACCACAGACCGGCTAGCTAAACTCCGAGACATTTCGACAATGTTATATTGATAATGGAAAAAGATGGTGAAAATTCTGACCACCAGTGTCGTAGGATTGCCTGACAAGGTGAATACAGAGCTTTGGATAGATAATAAAAATTAACTGTGTCAGAGGGGGCAAACAATATTGTCGGGAAAGGATTTAATAGGTCGTCTGCTAACCGCACACGAAGCCAACCCTGGGTTAAGTCTTTGCCGTTTTGACAAGACATGGGTGTTAGAATTCGGTTATGATAATAAAACTATGTTATCAGAAATTGGCACCAGGAATGCAAATACGGCTAAGACAATGAAACTGTTTTTTCGGGACGGGGATCGGCTGTGTTTCGTTAGACGACTACCCCACTTGATAATTGGCATTGATAGATCCCAGGTGACATTGGGGATGAGAGCTGCGATTAAGGAAAGAAAAGGAAAAGAAAAAAATAATTTTTTTTGAGCAAGATATATTTTTTTTAAAACAAAGCTAGCCGGATCACACCCACCCGGTTGGACGCCATTGGACGAATGTCAACGAGGGCCAGGCGGAGGTGATCACGTGACGCAAGGGGGGGGGGAGCCGCCGTCGCCCATTTAGAGGATAGGTATGAGAAGTTGCTACGAATAAGTGGGGAGAACCGTTGACGCCCCTCTGAAGTATGGTGAGATATCCATATGAGAACAAGAGAAGGTAGGAGTAAAAGAAGACGTCCAAAAATGGAAAGGAGTGGAAAATTCCTGACCAAAAATAAATGAAGTGGATATGGATTTAGAATTATCGAGGAACCTCCAACCCCGACAAAGCCCACCCCGGTTTTGGTCGGTGTCCATATAAGCAAAGTCGCAGCGAGCAAAAATCAGTTCAATCCAGAGTTGAGTTAAGTTCGGACTCCGGTTTTCCAGAGTGCTCAGTTGAAGCAGGCCTCGCAGAGCTGACTTGAAAGATTCGCGCAACTTCCGAACTCATCTTCAATCCAAGAACAATTTATTTTGAAGAGCGACTTAGATCCATACCACCAAAATAAGTTTTTCGACTATCGCCTGAAGACACACCAAGAACCAATTTCTTAAAGAACAGACAACTTAAGATGTTAAAACTCACCTAACAAAAACAACGTGTCACAATCCATCTAGCGGGTCGGGAGATAGACGCAGTCCTATGTATCCAGCAACCAGATATAAAGTATTGTTATCCTTTTTTGATACCTTGAACTTTTGAGTTATCATTTTATTTTCTTTTATGCATATTTGTGTGATACCACCCTCGTTTGAACTCAATTTGCATTACGGCCCCAGCGACTGATTGATTTCGTCTGCCTAAGATCAATTCACAACGTGGGTAGGCGGACTGGAGATCAACGCAGTTACTTTGGTAACAAGACGTTGGAAGCGAGTTGGGAACGACGAGGCTGATATCGGATCTGACCAGATTCCCATCCGAATCACCAAAAGGTTAGAACGTCACATTTGGGTGCCGCGACCAATACCAAGCCAGACAGGCGGACGTCACGTTTGGAGCGGCGACACCCGAACGAAGCAGCGAGGAGCGAGCGAAGGCTGTAGAGAGGGACGTCACAGACACAAATTGCCTCTTAACGTTACCCTCTATATCGAGTGGACCCCGTGCTTTGTACATGGTGAACTTTACTGTAAAAAAAAGAAAAAGAAACATATGTCTTGATATAAGTTTCAGTTCATATTTTTACCTGGCCTCATTTTTTTCTTTTGTGTTTTATTAATGAAAATCCATCGCACCATATCCATTATATGCTCATATTTTTCACATTCTTCCTTCAAAATATAGAAGAGAAATTACTTCCCTTAAACTATTTCCTTCTGATATGATATTCTGATATTATATGTTCTGATATTCTGACAATCTGATATTATTCATTCTTATATTCTAACAATCTGATATTATTTAATCTGATATCTGATAATCTGATATTCTGATATTATATATTCTGATATTAAGATATTCTGATAATCTATTCTGATATTTGATATATATTGTGATATTCTGATAATCTAATATTATTTATCCCGATATTCTAATGATCTGGTATTCTGATACTATATATTCTGATAATCTATTCTGATTTTTATATATATTCTGATATTCTGATAATGTGATAATATATAGTCTGATATTCTGATAATCTGATAATATATATTCTGATAATCTGATATTCTGATATTATTTTTTTTCTGTATTTTTAGAATTATAATGGAAGCGAGGAATTTCGCAAAGAAGAAAAATCTTGCTTGATTTGAAAAAGCGATAAAGGATGGAGAAATTCTGTGGTAGGTATTAGACATTTGGCGTATATGTCGCTAGAGAAAGAGATAAAATATCAACATAACAGACAATACATCGTAATCCTCTGGT